AGACCAGATAGCCAATGAAACTTCTCAACATATGAGCCAAAATGGAAATTTAAGTTTGAACTGAAATATCGATCTGAATTGAAACCAAGGTCGAGATATTTCAGATTGGAGAGATTCCCTAGATGATGAGGTACCTCCCCTGTAAATCTTGAATTGGAGAGGTTAAGGAGTCTTAAACTCTTCAAAGAACCAAAGAATTTGGGAATGTGAATTTTTCCAAAATCATTGTTGCTGAGGTCCAAATAACTCAAATGCTTCAAATTGAGTAGGGAAGGACTTATCTTACCGCCCAGCTTCGATCTCTCATTAGCCTCAAATTGATCACTTCGAGCAAGATCATAATCCACGGTAGGATTTTGACTTGAGTTTCAGGACATGGCCAGTCACGTTATTGCAGACAACTCCCTTCCACCTGCAACAATCTTCATCATCAGCAACCCAAGAGGCAAGTCGGCCAGCAGGATCAACCATATCCTACTTCAACTTCAAGAGGGCTTGCCTCTCCCTCTCTATGCAGCCTTTATTGCAACAGCCAGCATTGAAAGCAACCAGGCTCAGAAATCCAACCACGAGAACCATAAAAAGATCCATTGTAATTTTAGAAATTTGAAGGAAAAGAACTTATGAAAAATCCATCACAGGTATTGTAGTATATATAGTATCATATTTTCCATTGCGTAGCATTACACAGCTATTTCCATAACCCATTGGATAGCTGCCTACCGTCAATTTTCCACATTCGTGCTTGAATTTCTTTATTTTCTTTGGTCCATATCATCTTCCACTTACTCTTTTTCACATTTTAATTTGGCCGGAAATGCTGGCCATTAAAAAGAAGGTGGAAAAATTAGAGGAATGCTGCCTGCCAAAAGTTGACTCGCTATTCATATCAGTTTCTTTCTGGATCCTATTTTATTTTCTGTGATTCGATTTAAATAATTTTCTCATAATAACAATGGACAAAAAAAGTATTATACACTTAGAATAAAACATTAATTACTGATGACGATAGGGCTTGATAATAGATGTGTACCCATCTAGTGATGTTTTACAATCCGGTCACTAGACTCGAAAATGAAAACCAAAAAAGATTGCATGATTTTGCTTTATTTTATTTTATTTTACTATTTTCAGCTTTATTTTTTAAAAAATTTTCTTGGTTTACAAGGGAACGGGTGCATCCAAGCTCAAAACTGGGGTACCATCCACAACGAGGTGGCGTTGCTAGTTTCCACCTGCTCCAACTACTAAGTTGATAAGTAAACCAACTCAAGGGAAGAATAAAGGAAACAGAACTCATCTAAAGATCAAAAGATTGATAAGGTGATCCAAAACTCAAGACAAGCCACTCACCTCAAGAGTTTCAATTTTATTAAGAAAGTTTTTATTGAGAAAGCGATCACAAAAGTATTATATTAAAATTTGATAAATACTATATAGAAAATTAATAAGTTTTGTAGTGAAGTTTTATTGAGATTTTGTGAAGTTTATAACTTTTTTATGTTTGATAAAAAATTGAAATAGGAAAAGTCGATTAAAAAGTTGTAAAACCAATCCTACATAGAGAAATTTGGGGAAACTTTTTTTTAAAAAAAGTATAGAAAGAAAAGTTTATTGGTTGAGAATTAAATCAAGGAAAATAAAAACTAAAAATATCACTTTTATTCTCATTTTGTTATAGTATTAATATGTGAAAATGCATAAATAAGCTCATAAGAAAAAATGTGTTTAAAAAAAGTTTAGGAGAAAAAGTAGCTTGGTAGCCAAACACTCATGTTTTCTTAGGTCAGCAGAAATGCAAAATAAATATGGTCATAAAAGAGTTTATGCTGGATAACTTCATCTGTATTGATGACAAATTTATGAACAGGGAACATTTGCAGGAAGTAGGAACTAGTGAAATAAGTCACTATATGTATCAACAAGGACTCATAATTTCACATAGAAAATTATACGCTTTATGAGTCAGAACTTGAAAAAATTAATAATCAGAATGATAACATTGTCACTAACAACGAGGAACATAATTAAGTATTGAATTTGGTCACTAGATGGTGACATAAAATGAACTTTATATAACTGCAACTAATTATCTCCTTTCTGTCTACTAAATCAATGAACGTACTGGTGTTGCCATTCGTGCTAAATCTGCCAAAATCTTATCATGTACCTTCTGTATTTCGCTGGCTGTCAAGTCCACTCTTGCCTGTTAATCGAAAATCACAGGAAATCTGATAAAGAAAAAACATGCAAATAAAAATGGTAAAAGGAAAACCCAATAGAATCATAGTAAATTTACTACATCCTTGGAATTATGCTAAATAAGTGAAATTACCTTATGAAGAAAACTATAAAGCCTATTTTAGTTTCTTAACGTCTTAATTTCAAATAAGCTTAAAGTGTCAAAGTCAAAGGCAGTCAACAAGAACCAGTCTTTTTTAAGTTTCCAATCGACATAGGTCTGATTGACATACTGAGCCAAGCCACGAGGACTTGACCTAATACACAACTAATCTCTTATTTCACCTGTATGTTATATGGCTTGGAGATTCTATAGTAATCTTAGCCTCTTTCAAGAACAATGCATTGTCATTTGGAACGGAAATAGATGCCTCCAGACCTTAAAAAAATTAATTCAATTATTATTCACATTACAAACGTTAAAACTTAAAAAGGGAAAGAAATCAAACAGCATGTTGTTGTATATCTTTAAAGGGTCAAATTCACTGAGGCAACCGTTAATAAACTGAAGCAGGAAGAAAGAGCAGTGACTTCTACTTCTTCAGATGGTAGAGTGACGCCCATTGATGGCACATCAATCATATACAGAGCTTACTTCAAGCTTTTAGTTAACTAGTATTGCTCATCTTTTGCCATATATCAAATGAATTGATTTTGCTACCTAGACTATGCCAGCTGTTATTGTATGGGTACAAGATCATATTGCATCTTCTTGTTATCTCTAGGATTTTATTTTGAGTGTGACTGTGTTGGGGTTTGTTGTAATCCACACTACTGATAGTTGTATAGGTACTAAGGCTGTAATCTTACAATTTGATGAGTTTTAGAGTTAGGTTGGATGGGTTAGTGGAATATATTTCTATGGGTCAGTGGAATATATTTCTTAGTTATCTCAGAAAAGCAGCTTATTTTTTGCTTCTGCTTTAAGCTTTGTAATCAGAAAATTAGATAACCAAAAGCTCAACTGAGTATCTTTCCACTAACTTCAAAACCTATATCTCACAAATCTTTATGGTTGATAAGTTTAGGTAATATTTTTGTATTATGGTTCATAAAGGATATGGTTGTGGAAAATTATGGCAAATGGTAATGAGTATAATGAGGCGCACAAATGTTTAAACCATGTGCTTTACAACTGTGGCTAAACAAACAACTTTAAAGTGACCTCAGATAGCAAATGTCCATTCGAAATAGAGGCCCTTACTTTAGTTAGATTTTTATTAGAGCTGCTTGTGAGGTATAAGCAGTGAGGATGGAGGGGTTGACAGTTTACATGAGGGTTATCATTAGGTGCTTAATGACTGTACATTGAATGCCTCTGCATTTTCTAGAACTATTTATGAAACGTAGATCAATATTCTTTTTCACTCCTCTCCAAGAAATTGGAGCATAAAAACTTTGTGTTTCGTTTCTTCTTTGCAAGTTTTGTTTACTTTATTTCTACTTGGTCGCATTTTTGGTAGCTGTTAGGA